CTCTAGTGGCTGGGAACCGACGTCACTATCTCGGACCAGTTGGAACTCAAACAGTTGGAGCTGGCGGATGTCGCAGAGTGGTCACGATGGTTGAACGTTAGGCTGATTCGTGCCTTTTAAAATTTCGCAATGTTTTTTATTTCGGCTGTTAGATTTGTTCGATTTTGCGCACAAATGGTCCTTCTGAAATGTTGTTGCGCGATTTGAATCACAGGCCGCTGCGAGCCCTTTTGTTTCACAGATTTCCATTTTGTGCCGTTGATGTCTTATTATGTAGTTTCTTTTCTCAGGAGATTTTACACGCCGTTACCCCAATCATCTCTGAATTGATAATTTAAGTAATTGCTTATAATGCTAGCAAAATAACCAAGGATAATGACGGCACACTCGTAGATCGTAAACATAATCATCATGACTCCAATGTTAGAGCCAGTGTGCTCAAGGTGTGACCTACGTAATGTGTTGTTATGGTACTGACGTTGCAGTGAGCGGCTTGCGTCACCTTCAGGTCGGGACTCTTAACATTAGCGGACCAGGCTACACTAGACCCGGGCTCACCAGACCCAGCGCGGACCGGACCCAGCCTATGTAACGATCGGACCAGACCGCACCGGACCCAGGGTCCACCAAATCCAGCGCGGTGGCCGATCTCATCTGTCAACACTGCGACCGGTCTACCGAAATCCAGCACGGGCTCTGCCCCCAAACAGAGTCGTCAAAGCCTCGCACTAGCGAAGAAGACGCAAGTGCTGGTGTTGTGGTTCGCCTTTGCAGCGCAAAATACACTGGCGTTATCGTAAACACTCGATTTCGTGGGGAACGTGACGGGGTCGCGCGTCAGTGTTGAATGAATTGCGCAATGAATGGAAAATGAATTACTATTTAAACTGAGTTGGTGACGGAAACAGGAAGGTTAAGAAGGTGAGAGTCCAGTGGGAACAGAATTCGTGTGGAAATGGCGACATCCGTATGCAAATGAGCAGGTGGCAGAAGGCGTGCTGCGATATTTCCCCCGTGTGAGTGAATACTACTTGCTTAGGGCATTACCCAACGGCTTTATTCATACACGGCCTGTATGGCATTTGCATCATAAGCCACATGTTTGCCTTCATCTCACAACGGGCAGATCGCTATAGCTTTCAAACCCAGAGGGCAAGAATTAGGCCAACGTAATATTTGTGTTGCATACTTAAGCAGCGTTGTGTTGCAAACAGTTGCTTGAAAAACCATGACGATATACATGAGGTTATCATGAAATAATAGCTGGGCTACTGAATCACTATTGCCTGCCATTCCACGCAATTGAGGAACACCCAAAGACAATTAAAACGGTCGTAAAAATGATCCATGTGCTGTGTGTGGAGAATTAGTGCTGTCATTAATTTGCATCTGGCCATTTCAGTACCCACCCAGTGCATCAGATCATGGCTTCATAACGAACCTTCTTTTAACAATACGTGGCAACTGCCACTGCCTGAGACGAGGCATGGGCCTTGGTTCGTCTGGACTGGGAAAACCTTCGGCTCGTCATCTTGTGGGAGTCACACCAGTGTGAATCGATTCACTTTACAGACTATTGGGATTCTAACTCACCAGTTAAGCAATTTTGCTGTGGTCGCAGACGCAGACTACAGACATCGAGATTAAGATCCGAACTGAAATATGTCGGAAGTCAGACTGATGGTAGATCTCTTTGCTTCTTATTATGGTTTTATCCATCGCCATTTAGTGCGTCTTAGCCGTAAAGCCCTTGTATTGTTATAGTTTGGAATGTGGCCTATGGCTAAGTATTCGGTATCTGATGGTAGTACGTGCATTGGGCTCGCTCTGGTTTATTTCGTTTTTCTTTTTGGCGGCTTAGATGGATAAGTTTTTTTTAGAAACAGCTTTGTATTTTTATGGTTTGGGCTATAATGAGTAAGACTGGTGTTGGTATGGCACTCGCGTAGGGGTCCCGGATCAAGCCGACTCCCCCCCCCCCCCCGGACTTGTAACGTGCGTGAGCAAATGTTGGCACTTGAAAATTCGAGGTGGACACGCAGGCCCCTATGAATGAAGCAAATGGAGTACTGTTTCACGCCATGCAAGCATGCTATGTACGTACAGAAGCTCAGCTATGTCTTTCAATTAAAATTTTTGAGTTCCCGCGTGCAAAATCCCGTGTACATCCCTGAGCATCGGGAACCCAACTTCGCAAAGACCTTCAAAAATGTCTACAATTTCACAACTTTCCCAAAATTGACTCGCCAAGACATCGGATAAGACATAGTTCAGGTCAAATTTAGTGTTAATGGAATCAGTGTAACCTGCTATGATCCATGCTTGACAACTTCCACCAGGACAGCATGATATGGAGCGACCCATGCCCTACTTGATCCCGCAACACGACGACGGACTCAGATACAATACGTCATGGCTCGCGGTCTCGTGCTCAGGCTCGGACCCATGAGCAGTGACGGTGCGTGGGCTCGGGCTCACGTGAGACGACCATTGGGGACGAGGCACTCGTACCCAGATTCCAGATATCAGAACTCAGACTCAGATTCGAACTCAGGCCCTTGGAAGCGGACCAATACCTGCCAGGGACAGCATTCATGCATGCATACTGTGCAACAACACGGCGGTGGGTTACTCAGCAACATGTACAGCAGAAGACAAACGGAAACGTTGATGCTCTGACACCGAGTGAATGAGGAGAATGTGCTGCAACGCTCCTCATACTCAACGCAAAGATCGTCTTCCGGAAGGCATGATCCATCTCTTTGAAGGGTAATTTTGACTTAATGCTAGTGATATTACGCTGTCAGGGCGCCCACCGCGCACATCACGCACAGTACTTCCGCTTGTTAGCCACAATGGTATTATGCGTTCCACCAGGTCTTTGATCACTGGCAAATTGCTGTTTGCTTACCCCCTGTTGCGAGGATTGTAGCGGTATCAGGCGTGTTGAGGTATTGTTTTCCTGCTGGGTGTCACATTAAGATACTTAATTTTCACCCGCTCACACAAATCAGTGCCGCCTGATGCTGTACTACAAGCTTCTGTGTGCACAGGTGTTTGCTGCTGGTATGTTTTTCGTACTCACGTGACCCCTTTCACCTTATTGACATATCTGTTGTGTGGTGAGGCGATGGACTGTATATATATACATATATATATATATATATATATATATATATATATATATATATATATATATATATATATGTATATATATATATTTATATTTATATATATACATATATGAATATGAATATATGTATATGTATATATAATGTATGAATATGAGTATGTATATATATATATATATATATATATATATATATATATCTATCTATCTATCTATCTATCTATCTATCTATCTATCTATCTATCTATCTATCTACCCAAACAGGAACGCAGGTGAATCTTTTTAAAAAAGTCGGCGATCAAACCTTAACGTCCAGGCCTCATCAGGGGCGATTATGTGAACGTGGTACATGCCTGAATGTGTGATGTGTTGTAACTCAAAATCGTGTAATGTATAAATGATGCCTGACGTGTGATGTGCATGCCTGTTTAATTGAAATCAATTGCGTGTTTTATTGATGCGTGATGTGTGATGCCTGATCATTTCAACTTGCTTGCATGTTTGAATGAAGCGTGGTTTGTGATGTCTGTTTGCTTGAATCCGTTCGCATGTACTTTTATATTTTGCGTATCCTAATTCTTAATTGGATATGCACTGTAGCGTAGCAATGGCTGGTGATTGTTCCTTGTTTAATCCCCTGCTTGTTGGTGTCCTGTAAAAACTGTGGCTTGCTGTTTCAACAAAAACAAAACTGAAAAACCGAGTAGGATCATCGGCAGGCAATTTTGAATTCCCTTCTGATACTCATTTCAATAAAGGCATGTTACCAAAATATAAATGCCTCTATACATTCATTCTCCTGGCTTTTATCAGAGGAATAACGCTGTTACTACTGTCTTATCAATGTGAATAATGCTCCACGCAAATGCATTGAACAGCTTACGTAATTTTGCACTTTAAACATACGATCACAGGCATAGCACATATACAAAAGTTTGCTTCCATTGTATGCTTACGGAATACATGTTTGATGCTTTTGAAAAAGTAGCATTTACATGTTGTATGCTCAAATTCCAGACACACTTCTGTACGGTTGAAAGCTTACGTTTGCACCACATCAAGCTAAAAGGTTACTGGTCCGTTAGGTTTGCATTACGGGAGGGGAGTCTCTCCTATCAGTTGCATGTCGTAGAGCGGTTGTTGTGTGAATTTTTGTTGTGTATGTTGATGATAGGTGTCATGTGTCTGATGTATAATGTCTCCAGCGCGGTGGCCGTCTATGGCCTGTGGTATGCGCAGATATGACAGTGTTCATTACTAGCGCATTTCTAGTGGGTGGGATGCTGTGTTGTGAACGCACATGTGTTTTCGACGCCCTTCTAGCAAGCGCATGGCAAAACGTCGACCGAGACTTGTATTGAGGCTGATGTCGATTACTTTGAGGCCCTGACAGTACCCCGGCAGTACAATGGAAACAGTGACCTGCTTTGGTCTGTTCCATCTTATGTCTGGTTTGGTTTAGGATATTTTTGGTCACCAGGGATAATTTTTCAAGCGGAATTTTCTTTTGTGAATAACCAGCAATGTTTAAGAGCAAACCTTCTCTCGAAATACCCTTTAATATATATATATGCATATATATATATATATATATATATATATATATATATACATATATATATATAAAGCTTGTTTATCTATTCATAATTTCGGCTTCAGTGTGTACAGAGATGTCAGTAAAGAGAGTACTTTTGCAGGAGTGCGCCCCCAGAGGGTGCTGCCGGGTGGCGGGTGTGTGGGTATGACCCGGGGTCAGGCACGGCGGCGGCCGGCGCCGGCGCCGTGACCTCGGCAGGCCGCGCCGCCGGCCAGCGTGTGCCGAGTCTATAAAAACGAAAGTGCGCCTTGGTGCCCGACCAGTTCACTGGCAGTCAGACAGGATGGCGTGGACCCAGGTGTGTACCGCCGGAGACGGGGACCGAGCGCACGGCGCCTGCATTGCAGCTAAGGAGCGGCCACGGCCGACTAACCCCCCGCGGCTGGTGGTGGAGACTCACAGCGGTTGTGGAGCGCTCCGCTGTGCTCTGGTGTGCGCTGGTGGTCTTTGGCGTGCCTTCTTGCGCACTGGTGTGCTCGGGTGTGGTCCATTGTGCTCTGATGTGTTCAGGTGTGTTCTGGTGTGCTCCAACGAGCTCTGATGCGCCCTGGTGTGCTCTGGTGCATCCTGGTTCGCTCTGGCGCGTCCTGTGTGCTCTGGTGCGCCCTGGTGTGCTCTGACACGCCTTGGTGTACTCTGGCGCACCCTGGTGTGTTTTGGTACACTTTGATGTGCTCCGACGCGCCCTGGTGCTCCCTGCGGAATTCGGACGCGCCAGGCATGCTCAGGCACGCTCGAACACGCTGTTCATGCTTTGGAATGTCTCGGTGCGCTCCGATGCGCTCTGTTGCACTATTTCATGCCCTGGTGTTCCCTGCTGTGCTTGATACACTCTGGCTTTCCATCGGTGTATCCAGTGAGCAGTGGTGAGGCCTTCATGAACTCTGGACATTTACGCGGCTCCGCCAGCGGCAGAACCCAGCCCATGAGTGGTTCGGACCCTCGAGTCCTCAAGCGGCTTTATCCCCAGAGCATGAGTCTGGTCGTCAGACCATCGGTTAGACCCCCATCGATTAGACCCATTCGTTAGTTCCCATTGGTTAGACCCCGCCTCGGTGAACCCCGAACCATCCCGGGGACTCCCACCGTGGCCAAGCATTTGCTCTGTCTAGACCGACGCGCAGTCGGCAGGCATTCGGTTCGTACGCGTGCGTACATTTGCCAGAGTTTTCACGTCACCTGTTCACATCATCTTTTCATTGGTGATGGCAAGGCTCTTGCCAAATCTACGCGTCCCAAGCTTAAAAGCTTATCCCTGCCGTCTGAATTACTTCATTCTTCCCTGCGGGTATATATGTTTGCTTCACTGCTGCTCAGGTCAATAGCGTTCCGATGTGAATAGCAATATTTCTTGTATTTTAACTTGCATTTAAGTCTGACTATTACGTCATGCCATTGCATTTTGTTCATTGTTGTCTCACCTTACGCGGACGTGAAGATTAACACAACACCATGACTATCCTGTAGAGGTCCGTGTGGTGTTATCCCGAGTGTGCGCAGGTGTTCACTATTCTGTCCTCTGTTTACTTCTGGAGGCTTGGCCACTGAATGTTTGGCTTGAGATCAGATATTGAGCCTTTTATTACACCTGACAGCATCTCGTGTTTGCTGGTAGCCGCACATCTCTGCATCCTTAACCACGGACATTTCTCCACACCCTGACACGTGCTGATGCGGATCTCCCTGCCGCTCCCTGTGACGGGCTCGCGACTTAAAAAGAAGCCCCGGCGCCGCTGCTTCTCACGCCCCCAGGCTGCACTGCCAGAAGAATGCGTGTCTTGGACACCTTACCGAGGGCACAGCGTCTGCCGGGAAAGTTATTATGGACGTAAACAATTCCGCTTCCCGTCGAGAGGTACAGAATCTGATTTTGGAGTCCCGATTCCGATTCCGCGTTCGCAAAAACTCTGCCGAGGCGTCTGAACTCCCGCCTCAGAGCTCGTCAGCACCAGCAGGCTAACCGTCTCTGAACTCCTCCAGCAGTTCGCGTCCGCTCAAGCACCTGACCTGCCGACAGAGACGGATCGGCGGTCGGCGGCGGCGCGTGTGCTGCCGTCGCGCGCGGGCACGAGCCCCGTCACCCCGCCGCCCGGGTCCATCGCTCAGCTGTCGGCAATGTCTCTCCGCTTTTTGCCGCCCCTGGCCAGGCGTATTTCTCTGTTCGTCGCACATGCGCGGAAGCTCTAGAGTGCGTCCTTCATCCACGTCAGACAGTGTCGCTATAAAGTTTCCATCCCTCACGAGAGCGACACTTTTTCGCTGTTTTCCTATGACGTCGCCGGAAATCTCCGGTGTGATCTTTCTCCGATCATGCGCGTACACAACGGTTACAAACGTCCCGCAGTCAGGCACGTGACCGCTCTTTCCGGGCCCCTCGGCCGCTCATTCCAACACTGCCATCAATCTGGCTTTCATCACACGCCCAAAAAACAGCCTACCATAGCGCTGTGGTGACGCGGCATGGGGTTATTGGAGATGCGACGCTGCTCCGTCCAGGGACGATTCGGTGGGCTCCGGTCGGGTGACGGTGTGCTCCGGTCGGGGTGATGGTGTGCTCCGGTGTGACTATAAGCTGCAGCGTGACGCTGTGCTCCTCTGTGACGCACGCCTCCAGTGTGACGCGCGGTTCCAGTGCGACGCCTCGTTCTGGTGTGACCCAGAGCTCCAGTGCTGCACTGTGCCCCGAGGTGCTCCGTTGAGGTCGCCCCAGTGGGTCGATGCCCGCTCCCGGGTAACACTGGGTCCCATGTAACGCTGCCCCCAGTGCATCCGCGCGCCCAGTGCGCCCCCGTGTCCGGCTAGCGGGCCGCGGTGGCCGCCGTGGTGACCCCGGCGCTGGCCCTGAGCGCAGCCCCTAATTGTGGGCCAGGGGTCGGTCATCACTCAGGGGCCGGCACCGTCCCAGATCCGTCGGGGCGGGAGGTCATAGCCTTGTCGGTCCTTCCTGCACGTGGCCTGACCTGGCCCATCCAGCCCCTCTCTCGCGAGAAGGCCTCTGCAATGCGATGCGGTCGTGGCGTGGCGCTGTTGGGGACACTGGAAAAGAGAGGAATGTGTGCTGGATCTCCCATGTGGCAGAATGACATTAATTTCACGTTCGTTCATCGTATAAGCTTTATGAGCTTTCGCCACTTTCCTCTGAAATTTCTACCATGTTGGTTTCAGCTCATGGGCACCTAGCGACAGCATGCGTTCTCCTATCAATGACCTTACCGATAACGTCAGGAACATTCCGGCTTTCCCGACCGCCGCATTGCACCGCCCCCCCCCCCCCCCCCGGTGATGTTACACCTCTCCCTCTCCCTCGACCGCCAGCCGCTCGGCGCTCCGGCGGGGGTCGCAGACGTGACGTCACAGTCTCGTGCCGGGCAGACGGGGTGGCGTCCAGGCCCAGTTTCTGCGCACCTGGCCGCCTCCGATTGCGCCATTGGCGGCGCGCGCGGCGATCGTGGCGCAGCGCCAGCGGTGGGCGCGCGCGCCGCCTGATCCGTTCCCAGGCTCTTTCACAAACGGCTTCGGGAATTCGGTTTCGTCCGTTAATCGTCCCCACATAAATATTTATCGTGGCGGGCCTCTGGAAACCGAAAGCGAAGTGTAGGTGATGGCCAGGGGCTCCTGCTGGTGTCATCGGCCACAATAGGGCGGCCCTCTCCTTCCCTCTCCTGGAGTCCAGACAGCGCCGCTGGAGCGGGGTAGTCCCCCACAGGAGCGAAGCCTTGCACGATTCCCTGTGCGGGTCGAAAACCAGAGTCTCAAAAAGCTCCCAGGCACTTTGGAGTCCCGAAAGTGTTGTTGCTTCTGGTCACCTTAACTAACTTCGGCGGGACGAAAAAATATTTTGGCAGAAGGTTCCAAGAACACGCAATTCCCCGCCGTTCCTTCCAGCGCTGGGTGGCGGATGGCAGCCGGGGTACCTGGTATGGAGCGGCCGGCGCGAGCGGCCAGTCTCCATCTGCGCCCCTGTCAACCAATCATCTGGCGTCTTCGCCGGCCGGCCGGCGACCCGGTGGCATGGTGCGGCCCCGTTTCCCCTCTTCAGCGCAGACCGCCGCCGGCGGTGTCTGCACCCTTCCTCGTTGTGCAACGCTGCACCTTTCAACATGCAGTTTGCGTCAGTGCCGCTGGACGCAGTTTATCGGCGCGGCAGATTGAGATGGAGTTTTCGTCACCGTCAGTACTAAGCTGCTCTACACCCCAAGGGCCAATTCCCTGGTGGTCTGGGCTGTTTAGCTGTCTGGGCGCCCGCCAATTTCTGTTTTATGTTTCATCTTTGCGTCTGTCTTGCCACTCTCTTCGTAATTTATGTTGCTATGCCTATCCGTTCTCCTATTCATCCCATTGACGAAATTCGCATGCCATTGCGGGCCGCTCAAACGAGGTGGATCATCGCGAGGCAACGCTCTCGCCGCCTTGCCCACGTCGTTCCCAGTCGCTTATGCAAGCGTCTACAGCACGAATTTTGTCGTAAGTCATGGCCATTCTGTCATCATCGGCTGGGGGCGCGGCCCTCCCTCTCCTCACACCCTCACGCCGCGCATCACCTATCAGCCGCAAACGATGTGAGACCAGCAATGTAGAAATCTCAGGGGCGTTTCATTTTGAAGGATCAGCTGGCGACAAACTGGCTAATTTAGAGAACCCAGCTGGCATTAGCCTCGTTTATCTCCGGGCTAGCTTTCAGGGCTCCGGCGATGGTTTAAATGATGTGTTCCACATTTGTATGGGGCTTTCAACTGAAATACCATCATGAAGATCATTCAGTGCAGGTCATAGCCTCGCCCTTCTTAAGACCTAAACCTCTCTGGTTCCTGAGCCGCACGCCCGGAAGGAAATGCATATTTTTCTGGAAGACTATTTTCATCCTACCTGATGCCTGTTTCAATATCTTCAAATATGAAGCATTCCCTTGAAGCAGGCTTAACCTGTCGCGCGAGATGTATCTGCTCAGATGTGTCACCGACTTTTATTGTTTATTGCAGTCTTCTACCGTCGTGTGGCACCGCCGATTTATTCATTTTCGATGGTCCCGAAGTCATATATTGTGCACACGAACAGAACAGCAAGCAACTTCAACGAGCATAGACAATTATCCAATGACGCAGAGTGAATTGCGTCCGAGGATCTCTCTGAGATGCAGTGAGCGCCGCCCGTACTGGCCGAGCCCTCCGCCGAGGTCGCTGTTGCCGTGGCGCCGGCTCGCGTGACCCGCCCGTGCAGTGAATCACCCACCGGCGCTGGCACGCCCTGGCGGGGTCACTCTGCAGGTGACCCGTCTGACCCCAGTGGGGCATTCGCCAG